AAATTTCCTATAAAATTATCGATCTCTTCTCGTAGATTTTTACTCTGAGTAAACCGGATTTATGTATTTGTTCACATTTTGCTATGTCTGAGTATTTTTGATTCACAGAGATAGTCCAAACTGTGGTTTATTCCGTCTATTAACCTAGCGCAAACCTTGAATGATGCATAAAGCTTTTATCCCAACCATATACCTGCCTCTCCGACCTAGGTCGCTATAAGATCGAACGGATTGGATTAAATACTTTCTATATGTCAAGATAAGACATCGAAATTTCACTCCCGACCCATATCGCCCTCCGTCTACGTGACCCGTCTCGTGCTATTCTGAGCGTGTTTCAGACACGTAAATTTGACATTGAAGAGTTCCAAAGCATGCCTATGAAACTGATAGCTGGCCATACGTATATCCGAATTCGATGAGCCGATAAATTGTTTCCAAATTCCTCAAAAATGTTTTCCTTGTTCTTAAGTATTAAAGCGAGTTTATCAACGTTCTGTTAACGGGGTATTAAAATATATATGCACAGAAATTAAGCGCCGTGTAATTTACACAAATTAATGCAATACTTTAAATAGTTTGGTATTATTGTCATAAAGAAAAATAACATGGGCACAAGCAAACCGCAAATGCCTGTTTATTGATCTTTTATTTAGGGAGTGCTTTTTGCATTATAACTACCGGGTCTATTTCAGCGACAATCTAACAATTACTGTAATGTGTACCTATTACTTACATGCATATGGAGTTAGTGACCTAGAAAGTTTTTTTGCAGATTCCAGGTTTACACGGGATTAACATTCCTGCGTAAGCTGGTTAAAATTAACATTATAACAAGATTTAATTGAAGCCGTTTTTACGGTAGAACCAGTAATCCGGAATTACACAGGAAGATATCAGTATCACAAGGTGCTGTTTTTATTCCATTACACTTAACCAGATTAAGACCTAACAGCCTCTACCAGATAGCGACTGGTAATATCAAAGATAATTTAAAGGTGGATCAAAATAGGATTTACCTAACATCTATACCTTATATATTGAGAAAAAATTGAATATGGCATGCATACAAAAGAAATGGCAAGTGTACATGGCATACGGGTGCAACGTGTTTTGTACTTATTCGTTTCAAGGCAAGCACGAAAGGTTTGATACCACTCTTACCGACATTTTTTCACGTTCGCTGACAGTGAAAAATTTAAGAACCATTTGTAAAAATAATTCACCAGGTCTTGCTAATTTACGCTGTTTTTATAATGTGGACTAAATGTATGGTGCTATATTGGTATAATTAATCCAGACATGCACATCATTATGAACAATATACCTGCTATAATGTGCTCCAAGATAAAGTCATATATCTTTAAATTGTGCAAGCGAAAAGACATGTTGTGTCACTTTTATATTCAAGGAAGAAAAATGACATAATTTCTTTGTCGTAAAGAATTCCTGACATTATAAACTTGGTAATTCGGCCAGTGCGATAATCGGCCATTCCCGCAAGGCACTGTGGGAAGTGAGAAACCATTTTCTGAGAGGACGCGTTTACTGCGTAACAAATCTACCCAAGAAGACGTGGTCTCTACGCCGTGATCTTCACCTTCACAAGTGACAAAATTACGTGGTATGACATATGCAAGGTCATGTAAGTCAATGTTGATATTTCCAGAAAGAAACCGTTAACCGCTACACGTCAGAAAAATATAGGTAAATCTGTTTGTAATTACTACACTACTGACAAACTGTATATTTATTTAAGCAAGCATTGAATCATGTTGTTTTGTCATTTATAGGTGTTATAAATGATAGATAGTTATAGGCAAAGACGACTTGTATAGCGTGCTCCTATACTGTTTGTTTTTTCGAGATATTTGCAAAGAAGAATGAAAAAAGATATGTTTTCCGTTTCCGACAGTCTTCTCAAGGAATAGCGACTGTTATATTGCACCGCCAACGTCTCGTTGACAGCAATAATGACATCATAGAAACCACGCTACGATAATGACGTCATAGAAACCACGCGACGATAATGACGTCATAAAAGACACGCGATGTTAATGACGTCATAAAAGACACGCGACGTTAATGACGTCATAAAAGACACGTGACGATACCGTACAACTTATGCATATGCATGACATTTGGTCTTAGAATTTGAAAAAATGGAATCAAAATTAAGAGCATGGTGTGATAGTAGCGCCAGAAAACACGAACACTTTTTGAAATGATCATCACACGGTTAAAATACCACTAACTATGATACTACCAGGTCGGTGTAGTTTTTAGTAAGAATCAGATTTTAAGACTGACTATCTACCTGGCTCAACCAATTTACAATATCTATCACGTGTCAGTATTCCCGTTTATATTATTCAACTGAAAGTATTTGATGTCACGAATTTTCTTCTTTATACAAAAAAAAAGTGTGTATGTCAGAGGTACATGATTGTAACCTTTTGTGGTGACTGGATTCAAAATATCCACTACCCTAAATGTAGGACCATAAAATGGTGCTTACTTTCCCCACTGCATGATCATAAGTTTCGACCAAATTTTGATCGTCGTTTTCTCTCTTTCCTAAACTTGCCTTTGTCACTCCTACCGATATTGTAACAACATGGAAGTTAGCGCTTGGAATATTTTTTTCTGTTATGCCAAATTAGAGTTGGATTAAATATCAGGAAATTTTATTTTAAAAAAAAGACGAAAATATCAATAACTACTCCAAACCTTAAGTGGAAAGAAATGAGAATATCTAGGGTAACTGTAAAATGATTTATTAGTTTTAGGTTACCGAACGAACGCGCTGGCATAGTAATATTTGCTTTGATCAAAGTATTACACCGCGGTTTCAAAATGACAAAACAACACTATTCACAATTTTCTCTAATCTTTTCTATTTCCATTAAAGTTTTCTAACAGAGTTTAAAAAAAATACAAGAACGCTCAATATTATTATCATTTAAAAAAAGAAATGAAAAGAAAGAGAAAGAAAGAGAAAGAAAGAGAAAGAAAGAAAGACGAAATAGTATCATATTTTAATTGATATCGCACTATTTTGTTACCAAGACCCCGAAATTGGACTGGTTTAAACATACATGCAAAAAAACCGGTGTGATATTGTGGGCGTAGTAATACAATGACACAAGGCAGGTGAATTTATGAGAATTACGGTAGATGCACTAATATGTGATATATACATTACTACGGTACGAGAGTCAGACGTCATCTATCATCCTACGTCACGCCTTGCCTAACTGCTTGTTGTAGCGTTGACTAATTTGTCGCCGACAACTTTACACATCGATCACGGGCCAATCACACACTGTTAAATAGGTAGGACAATCATCCTACCTTACCTTACAATACTCTGTCTGTATACAGTCAGGCAAACTTCATAAAGGCTTTCATTATTGTAAGGTTTTGTAAAAACGTAAAAAGTCATTCTTATTTTGAATGTATAATGTCACTGGCTGTCCGGCTTACTGTAAAAGATATCGGTGATTGATTAAAGTGATTTCAATTATTGATCCTTGTAATTTAATCAAAAATTCTAATTCGTCCTTTGATGTAAATAGGACCAGCGTATGCGAATGCGACCTCGGTGTTGTGTACAAAAGACCTCGGAGAATGTATCTTGACGTCAAACTTGATTTAGTGTTACAAGGAATAGTCAGATGGGGAATTTCGGAAATGGATAGAAACAAATTATTCTTTAAAATCGCCCTGTAAACTTTCTTTATACATCTCAATGTCACAGAACATTGAACAAATTACTATTGGATAACCAGGTACAATTATGATAAAGCGCGAGGTGGCGTAGTGGCTAGCGTACTCGTCATTTACCTAGACGGTCGGGGTTTGATTCCCAGAATGAATGTGAAAAGATATAGGATCATCCCAGTTCGACATCACGAGTTTTCCTTAAACGCTCCGGTTTCGTCACACAAACCACAGTGCGTTTTAACACGGCAACATAAACGGACAAAGCGATATGATATAGTTCAAGATTGATATAAAGTAAACAAAACCAAAAGTTACTAGGTACTATCAAATTTGTCACCTTATACAGGATGTAGACATCGTTACTTAGCAATTTTCTTTATGATATACAATATAGACTAAATGTATAACGTTTTATCCGTACGGACATACCCCGGATACTGTGATAACAAGTGGTGTCTTTTAGCATAAGATTGATGACCTTGAAATACCATTGTAAGAGAGAAACGGGTTACAAACCACAGATAGTGCTTATGTCATACAGATCTGTGTGTATTTAACAAATATTGCATGTTTTATATTGTATATAAGTGGTTGTGTATTTCATTTTGTTTGAAAACCAGCTGGTGATCTGTATATCATATATCACCATATTGAAATGATATGCTCTGGTTGTCACGACAACAAAGAAAACGATCAGTCGTGCCCATCATTGCTCAAGCTCGTAGCGACAAGTATCGTTTGTTGTGGTTGAAAAATGTGAAAATATGAAATATCATAACTTCCCTCAGATTGTGTATAGATTTAAGATAAAGCTAAGTCACTACGGTATCAGATATTCAGTAAGAAAATGATATCCCAAACGATATAGAAAAAAATATCTCTTTGAATGTTTTACAATGTTTAACATGTACTACCACAGGATCACGAATGACAAGTGTTTTAAATACTGCTGGGCTGTACCTATCATATGTCAAACATTTAAAAACAGGACCCATCACTTATGAAAAATGCATATTTATCTCCAAATCAGATATTGATAGCTTTTACAGTAGCCCATCGGAAATATTTATCATTTCAGTAAATCCAAGTATTTTTTTTCTTAAATATGTCATGAATGATATTTTCAAATCCATGGTATACATCGAATGTTGTACTAATTGTCCAAAATACTCCTTAAATTGTCCACAGTTCAACCACTAAAAACAACACTGTCCATATATCACAATTCAGTAATGAACTAACGAGTTTTTCCGTGTTTTCCAGAAGCGCCTGTTAACCTTCCAGTCATGGAAGAGTCCGTCTCGGATAGCGAAGTGGACTTTTTCAATACGAAATCCGAGTATAAGGCTAATCTGCCGAAGAGAGGTACGAAACGTTGGGCCTACGCTGTTAGGCGAGCGTCGATTGGTTGGTCACCTCTGCATAGCCCAGGCACAGATAGTACGAGTGATCACAGTGGAGAGACTGCCATCCAACCAGAACGGGTGGTAGAGCTTTTACGTTCTCCTTCAGTTCAAACATACACAACACTCAAACGGAAGCTTCTAAAAGCTAAGTCGAATCCGGAATGGATTCTTCGATTTCTGCATAGCGATGGATTGGAATTATTGTTCGAAAGTTTGGAACAAATTTCTAGACAAAAGCCAAGTAGTTTTCTGGATGCCGTGCTTCAAGTTGGTTGTGTTGAGTGCGTGAAAACCGTTATGGATAGCTCCCTTGGTTTGGATTACATTGTGGAAAATAAGGATTTTACACCTAAATTCGCAGCAGGTATGTATTTCTTATTTATATGTCTTCCATATTTTGTCTTATGGGAGAGTTGTCATCATTTTATAAAGCCATATCAGTGATAAAATTGAACAGGTGAGACGTTCGTGACCGCGTAGCTGATGTTCGCTGTTCATACAAACTGTTAAAGGGTCTCTAAATAGACAGCGCTCACCTGTACAGCTAAAGGTATCGCTTACCTAGACACATTAATAGGCATACAGTTTACCTGTGGTATAACTTCACCTGCTATAGGTATAGAGAGCAATGGCTCCACACTACAGTCTTTCGCTTTATTTCTCACTTGCTCAAGCCATAAATGAAATTAACTGCCCACCCAGTATAAATGAATTAAAGACATAATCTGCCCATTGTTTATCTTTAGTACTTTAGTTTCAGGTTCTAACCCTTGTTATGATTTAAGCTTCTTTAATGTTTCAATGTAAACGATAGCATTAATAAGTCACTCTATCATGGTTCATACCCAACTCATTCATTTGCTTTCGAATTCCTTGGGTGAATTCATTTTTTTTAGTTTTAAGTTACAATTTAATCGGAATTTATTTTTCTAATTATTGATCATTCTAATGAAGTACGAAGTTACGAACAACATTTCCCATTTTTTTTTTTTAGAAAATGTCTCATACAGAATTTGTTTTAATTTCGCAGTTATTTAGAGTCTCGCAGCATACATCTGACAAATGTGTCTATCCTTTTGCTAACCAACGAAAAGTACAAGACTGACGTAAAAATTGAAAAGTGATAATTAGATACTGTCAATTTTCAGCTCTCTAATATCGTAAACAGGTGGTGCAGTAACAGTTATAAACACTACAAGTCGGCAGTATGTGCTGCAGTTTAAGATAAATCAATATAAATAAGATTTTCTGGTTCTCAGACAACAGCCAACAAATATTCGCTGTAGATAGTTTGGGCTGTGTTGGATCGAATCTCGGATTCAGAGGCTGCCTAGTTGACCTTTTTTGACCCGACATGACGTTCTAACCTTTCCAAGTCTCCCGTGTCTGCCTCTGTTCTCGTACAAGTCCACGGTAACTCGATCACTATGGATTTTATCATTATGATGCAGTACGTGCTTTGACAGTATGTGTACATATATCCTTGTTCATTTCATTATTATTATTTTCCCCTAAATGCCTTCAGTATTAGGTGACTTTTCAAAAAGATATAAAATTACCGAAACGAAAGTTCAGAAAATGTCTGCAGAAAGTATTAGAGATCAAAGTCACTAAAAACTAGTACGGACATATCAAAACCTGTTTCAATCGTTCTAATTAGGATCTAAAAAGCACTCTTCACGAGGTAACGTTTCCGAAGCTTACTGTAAAAATGTTTATTTATTTTAAATTGAGACAGTTATGGAATATACGTCATACTGGTCAGTAATGTTTTGATGTCTGACTATTATGACACGTGAACACACTGACCAGACATGGTCATTCTCCATGAAGGACAATTACAGGCCACTCTACGTCACAGGCCCAGTTTCGTTGTTGTCAGTAATAGGAGCAGATGAAAGGTGTTTGGCGGTCCTACTTGTGCTAGGTTGAAATGATCCGTTCATTTTGAATAAAACATCAGTGGGCTTTAGGAAAGATACGTAGGATGATGTCTCCTTCGCACTTCATTTGAAAGGGAAGACGGTTAGGTCGACACCGTAACTAGGTCATCCGTATTCACAGAAGGACGAGTGTCATCCCTGGTTGAGCATGTTCAGGTGATGATAATTGGCAAGTTCACTGCATTCTGCTTACCGGGTATAGAGACGTACCTCGTGACAGTATACAAATCTCGAACAGGTTGTGTCAGGTTCTGTCCTATCAAATTACGGAACACATGGTGGTAATTTGGCAGAATATAATGTAACTTTACCGGTTGTATTCGTGTATCATATTCAAGTAATTTTTTATTTGACAAAAGTACAAGAAAATAGTTCATACATATATCTTAATGTGGGTTGTTTTGTCAACTAAAGGCGGATGACTACTTGTATAAAGATTTGCACAATAAGGACTACAATAAAGACAGTTTTGATGGGCTTTGTTATGTAAGGTTTAAAAGAAAAAAAATGTAGTAAGTCTGATTGGAAAAGCTTTCGCCATCAGGACCATTCAAATAAATAATACGGAAGGTTTTGATTTACCTTAGTAAATGTAAGCCAACAGAAGAATTTGGTCAAGCCCTTTTGCAACTGGCTTCCAGCCAGACTAGAGATTGTGCTGTGGTCACTTCTATTAATGGGCTATAGTGGACACAGCAAAACTAAGCACCGAAATACCTTGATTGCCATGTTTGTACTTATCAACCAACGGCCTTCGTCAATCTTCATGATAGACCAATAATCTGTATGCTTTTGGTTCAACTCAGCTAAACTTGACACAGTTAAACTAAAACAACGCATCTGTTATAAATATTGTGAATAACTGCATTCAAAAGTGAAAAAAAAAACTTTGGTCGTATTCAATAAGCTATTGCTATTAGAGTATGGAAATATTCAATTAAAAAAATATTTTAAATGCAAATGAAAATTTAGATAGAATTACCTTATTAAGCTAACGATGCAGTGTTTCTTTGGCTAAATGAAGGTTTGTATAGTGATAGTACAGGACTATAGATAAAGGACTTCAGTAAAAGTGAGACTTTTCCTATACCAATCCCCTCAGTGATACCTATTGTACACAGTCGTCTTCAAATGGTTGGTCATAGATCATTTAGACTTAAATGTAATAGAACTTCTCTTTAGTGTTGGCTATCCGGGATCTACCTTCATCCCCTGATATTGCCGCCCCTGTGTAATTATGCTTTTAAAAGTCCTATTAAGCAATAAAGATGCTATTTATATTGACTTAGGAAGGCGAGGAATTCTGTTGGAAAATATTTTGATTGTAGCTAAAATGTTGGAACACACATGAATTTTAAAAGAGTATCTATTTGTAGAGGGTTTTACGTAGCGTTGACAAGAGCTTCTGTCTCCCTTCAACAAAATACGTAATTATATATTCTTGTTTAAATCTCCCCCTGAAAATCATCAAGGTTATAATATGTTAAAGAATATATAGATGTTTGACCGTTGTATACTACAGGTTAGAATAGATTGCGCTGCGAAAGCCACCACCCACCCGTAACGTATACTCCGTAATTGCTTGTTTTACGAGCTTTTTGTCTTTTCTGGCCCATAAATTCAAAGTTCACACGAGATCATCTGCAGGTTATTTAGGTCAAATATGCACGTCTTTGTGTCATAGTGCGGAGTATTGATCTGTACGGGACTGTTAAACAGTACCAATTCCCAATTACTACGGGAATGTCTTTCCCTCCCTTAAAACCTTTAAAAGTTTCATGTTTCGTTTATTTATTGTTTATCTAAAGATGTTGATTTATTTACTGAAACTCGTACAGTTGTGCTTTAGCATTTTGGGGAAGACATATTTCTTCATGGAAAAACCTTTCTTCCGTCTTTTCGTCAGCCTATCAATCATGTCAGACTCATAAAAATGCCAAACCGACTTGTGATATTATGTGATTACTCACAATCGATGTTTTATTTTATGTTTGTTTATTCTATTCATTCATCCATATAATTTCTTTTTACGTAAAAAAATACGTCAATAAGAAAAAAAAATGCATGGATTTGAACGTATTCGCCTACTCCGCTAACGTGCCATCCACACGCAATGGATGTAAATCAGGCCGTTGACATATTTTATGTTTCGGGAAGTGTCAGCCACGTGCCGTTAAGTCAGTAGTCGTTTGTTCCTCTATTACAGAATTCTGGGTAATCTGTCCCCGAGCTTCACACCTCCACACCTTTTACTGACAGGGAGAAATAACTGCCGATATGTTTATCTGTACCCTACTAATGAGACATGTTTAAAAGTTTAGCACCGTGACTTCTACGGACAATCGTATAGATTGTTAAAGTACTTTTAGAGTTGACCAAGAAAACAGCCTCCGGACAATCCTTTTCTGCTAGTCATTTTTGAAAGATGCAAAGTCATGACGCGCCACTGGACTTCACTGTCCGTACACGTGGTCAATGGCCAAAGCTCTACAGGTAGTGATATAATTATGGAGAGAAATTGCAGAGTACCTGCAAGCAGTCTGTTTGTATTGTGGACATCAATGATAACTCCTCTGTCGATGTTATCTTCGTTGTGGCGATCAGACAGTGCTTGTGGTCATCTCATTACCAATCATTACTAAGCTGCTTGACCAGTACCGCTGTGAAATGAGATACACATCTGGTTCGCGTATGCCATTAAAACATCGTTCTCCACTAATGTATTTACCTGTCAAAACAATTATCAGTCCTGCTTTTTTATTGGGCTGGATATCCTTCTCTTGGGACCTACCTCAGTACTGATGCGAACCACAGGGACGTGAAAATATGAATAAGGTAATTGATCTTTACCGGATATTGATAAAACACCGTCATCAAATATCTGATGTTACGATTTGAACTTCGGGAGAAACCTGCACAAATTCACAGGACCTTGCGTTCCCTACCAAACACATTTTATTAACTGTCTTTGCAACTTTTCAATAAAATAACAAATCGACAGACCTGCATTCTTAATTTGTTTTTTCCATTTGTGGTTCTTTTACGTACAGTGATATGACCATGTATTTCAGTAAATGAGCAGTGCAAGATGTGTGGAAATGAGTAGAAAAGTATGAAGATTATAATCGTCTTCGTTTCTGATATTTACATATCACATACCATATCATATCTCAAGATCTGATTTCCTGTTTGTTCTTTATCGAGATCTGGAAATATTGCTTCCGTTTCGATAGTAAGGCCACGCTCTCCTTTTGAGTAGTGTCTGTTTTGTACATAATACTAAGCTTATCGTATTCACACATCACACGTGGTCAGCTTTAAGTCAACTCTACCATACACATCTATAAAACCTGCAGTCAAGTTAAGTTTTTAAGGAGAAATTTTATATGAGACTTTGCCCCCCCCCCCCCCTCCCTCCCCC